GATGATCTGGCATTTTCACTCAGTGGCAAAGATGTGTCAGGCAGAATAGTTTCTGCAGATAGAGGGGTAGGACCTGATTTAGATGAGCTGGGCGGTGAGCTGTGGAGGCACTCATCAAGAGATGCGATCCTGTGCGGAAGAGAGCAATGTTCAAAGGAAAAAAAAAAAGGAGGCGGTGAAGTTTGTGACTAAGTTCTGCCTTCCCACGCAGCATCCTCCTCCATGCTCGGGTGCTTTCTTTGAGCTCAGTTTAAGCTGACTGACCACGCTGTTCTCCCGTTCTGCCAGGGGATATCCTTGAACAATTTCGAGCTCAAAACACTCCTTAGATGCACTGCTTCACAACCCACTATCATCCTACCTTTTCATCTGTTACTCTAAATTATCAGGTGGGCTCCATTTTTTTTACCGCCAAAAACCAACACTTCGGAAGTCTCCTAAATAAGTGCATCACAGAGGTAAAACACCTTAGAGTCAAAATGTCTTCGAAGGTAAGTATATGGCAACAATGGAACCAGTCACGACGTCGCGTATTCCTGCCGGTCATAATCAGTCTGAGCAGCACACTGTAGGCAAGCAATCTGCCTCTCTACACTTAGCTTGATTATCTTTACACCCCAATCGCTTTTGACTCTGTGGCCTGCTCACCATCAGCTCCCTCTACATTACCAATTCGTGGCTTATGGTGAAGAGGATGTACCCTGCTCTTTCACCTACTGTATCCTACCCAGAAGTGGGCCACCTTAGCGTTTTCGTCTGTATTGTAGGATATTGTTTGAGTGGGGGAAGTTTGGATAGGTCAGGCATTGTGTGCAGGCTTTCTACGAGTAAATTGAGTCTAATCTGATCAGGTTACAGGTAGAGATAGCGGTGCCAGAATCATTGAGTTACGGAAGTGAGGTCCAAACTTAGCAATTCTCGGGAAGCGGGCCACCTGCATGAAAAGGCACTTGAATGGCAGCTCAGCGCTTAATGACACTCTAAGTGTATATTATGTCCATATAATACACAATATTAAGCACAAAAGTTGAAGGAATGAGTGTATAAAATATCATGTATCGGAGCAAAGGAGGAAATTTGGGGTGTAACAATGGAATCATTCGTTGATTCAAGGCCTAATATGCTATAAGACCTTACAGTCAGTGCTAATAATGAGCCGCAGGAACTACTCGACCCACCAGTAGCCTGATTTCCACAGCTTGCCCCCAAAGCCATACAGGGCAGCTGATTTCCACCAACCACTGATCCTGATCCTTTTGGCGGAATAATCACGACGCCGAGCAATGAACAGAGCACGAAGGCTCGAGTAAAGTTCCGAGGTTGCTTTATATATTGAAGACATTGTACTATTCAAATCTTGGAAGATTTTAACAATCCGGTCGAAAGCTGTGGGCACTGAAATTTCGGGGCCCTCGAACCATAGTACTGAATTATTCACAGCCCAATTTGGATGAAAATCAATATTCTAAATTAATGCATTACATTTGTTGCCAAGGGTATTTTGAGCCACGATATGGGTTGTTGAGGTGAGAGAAAGAGTATTCGAGAAAAAAAAGAAGGATAATGGATTTACAGCAATTTGTCGACCGGCCCGAAAATTTCATTCCCCCATCTCTGCTTCTAAGTATGCCTCGTTGCCTTCCTACTTGCTTTCATAGCATTATCAGAGCATGAGTGGCCGCTTTTACCATAAGAATTTTTTTACGATGTGTAGCCATCGAAAACTCACTCCTCAGTCTTGCCCGTCAACAGCAATAGTACTTCCCACATCTTCGTGATACTCATTACGTTCAAGATGAAATTTTGCGACAAGGAAAGCCATCAAACACAATGCTGGAGTCTTGCTAGTGCAGCATTCCTTGGTTCACTCAGAACGGTGTTTTCCGCTTCTCCCGCTTCTGAGATTAGCACCTGCGTCGAGTTGGCACCCGAAACTGCGTCCCCCTCCTGCCCCTCCACGCACAAGATGCATAAAAAATTACATGCTTACACACATAAGTACATACATACATCCCTACTACGATCCTATATCGTCGCAAATCGAAAGCGTACTCAAAGTTACGTACACGGAAACAGCACGGCCAATATCTTGACACTGTTCTGTCGTCATCCCGCTGAAATACGTAAATTACGTATACAAAAGTTGAACCAGTAACCGAGTGCGCTCGTAAAGAACTTTCGGTTACCAGTGTACTATGCCGGACTGGCTCGTGAACGAAGTAAAATAAGATACTTATAGCCATCCGGGGAACCGGCACCCCTTCAGGCTTAAACGAATGCATCATCCATAAGATAGACGCGATCCCTATTTTTCGAGCGAAAAGGAAAAAAACAAAACCGTCAGTCATCCATTTCTCCTGAATCACACAGCGAAATCGAAGAAAAAGAAGAAAAAGGCAACCCACCTAACCCTCGGCTTCCGAACCTCATAGCTCACATGCATCCCTCCATCCTCCTTCATCTCCTTAAAAATCACGATGTTCCTATTCCTCCCCCGTTTCCCATGGACACTCTTATGATCTAGCTCGCGGAGGTTCGGACACCGCCGAACGAGCTGCATAATGGCGCTGTGCATTCGGTCGTAAGAGTTACCCCCAGCGTTATCATCATCATTGACAATGTTGTTGTTGTTGATGTTGTCGCCATTTCCGTCGTCATCTTCTATAGACGTCCAGATCCCTGGTCCTCGGAAGGTGTGCAGCGCGGAGAAGGAAGAGAGGAAGTTGAGCCATGTTTCCTGTAGAATCCCATATCCAGATCAGTCGTTTTGTTTCGGTGGAAATTAAACTATCCCCACCAAATCAAATTTTCCACACGCATGTATACTCAACCACTCCAACCTCGGACAACATCTCGCGATATCATTCAACTCATCCACCCCATCGACACTCAACAAATACAACTTCTTGAGATTGCTGAAGAACGTTGTGTGCAGCGATAAGGTTTCCAAAACCCCAGAACCGAATTTGAACGAAGTGTATTGGAGACATTCGAGGTTTTGGGGGATAGGCCTGGTGAGGGTGAAGGCTCCGTTTTCGTTACCCTCAGAGCCTGAGTCTCCGGCGGTGTCATCCCCCGCGTCACTACCCTCGCCTCTGCGACCATCCCTATACGCCCTTAACCCATAAGCATCCCCGCCCTCTAAATCCCTCCTCCTTACAAACGAATCAATGAAATTCCTCTCTACCGATAACCTCTTCAGTTTGATTAACCCATTCGCAGGGAGTATGATCGTCGAGGACGGATTACACCATAGGTCCTCCAAATCTGGATGGTTCTCGAGGAAGCCGTTCCACTGCTTGATCACATTGAAGGTGGTGCCGGATTGGAGGAAGAGAGAGAGGCAGCGGAGGCGGGGGAGAACCAGGTCAGTGATGCTGATGGCTTCGATCGGGAGCTGGAGACTCTATAAGGGAGTCAAGGGGAGGAAGAGAGGGGGCGTTAGTTAATCTGTACAGGATGCCTGTACTAGATAGATAAGCAACTAACCTCCAACTGCGCACACTGCTTCAACACGTGTTTCAACGCCGGCGCCGTCATCGAGTGGCTCCAGACCTCTCCCATGAGCGTTAAATCCTTTAAATTAGGCATATTCCAAACCTTTAATCGAAACGAGAATGTCAGCCCAGTCAGTCGGTCATCAAATCGCAGGAGAAGCAGTCGACCTCGCAAAAGACAAACTCACCATCTGAAACCACTGTAACCCATTGACCACCCCCGGTTTCAAACACTTTAAATTCCCCGCCAGTACCAACCTCGAAATTGACGGCAAGCCGCTCAAAGTTTGCAGGAGAATTAACTCCTGCTGCGGACTCATGTACAAGCTCCCGGAGTTGGATCGGAAGTCCCAATGGAAAACTCGCAGCCTGTCCATGTACGACATGACGGTGAGGACATTCCGTACCCTCTCTTCTTCTTCTTTCAATGGATCTTGGGCTGGCCAAGGTTGGACCTGGCCCGAGCCAGGGTTAATCGCCTGACCGGGACCGTTGGTGACGTTTTGGAGCACCACTTGGGCTGCACCATGAAGCAGACCATATACACTCGATACATGCCCACTCAAACCTCCTTGGGCTTTTACCTTGACCTCCTTCTCCTTATCTAGATCGAAAGGATTGGTAGTCGTAGCACCCGCACCGACGGTCAACATCGGGACCACAGGATACCTCTCCACCATCGCCTGTTCCGTCTTCTGGCAGATATACACCTCCCTCAAATTCCGCGCCAGATCCGCACGTTTAGCCAAATGCGCCCATAAACCGGGCAACCGATGTCGGATCCGCAATACCCGATAATCGCTGTGCCTCGGAACAACGAGGTGGTACAGGTCCTTGGAAGAAAGGGCAAGGGATATGAGATCAGAGTGGCTATCGAGGTCGGAGAAGATGGAATCTAGAATTTCGAGCGGGAGCTGGGTGAGGTTGGCGGGAGTACTAGGCATTATGACAGCTGTAAGGTGATTGTTCGGGTGAGGGGAATAAAGAAACCTGTGAAAGAAGAAAGGCGGCTTTATAATGAGAATACATATTGAATAAAGTACAAAGAGCTTTTTCACCGTTTCAATGTACAATGTACAAGGTTGACTCGAGGGTGTCAACAAAGTATCAAGTACAAGGACAGAAGCTTCCGCGCATGGAAATCCAACCCAATTCATTTGGCGCCCCTCGTAGCACGTGTAACGTAAGCGCTCAAGGCCCCTATCAACGCGTCACACGTGTAAGCGCTCACTCGACGCGTGAGGACTGAGGACGAGTCAGTGTGAGCATTGCAGTGGGTCCAAAGGAGTGGGTCAAAGGAGCGGATCGAACAATTGCATCAATAGATTTGCTTAGACTACTGACAGAAGTCGACCAAAGAACGACCTTGAAATACTTTTTCAGTAGGAAAAACCTGCTTGGAATTGTGTTGATCGCGTATATAGAGAATCGTTTCCATTCAGGTTCGACGCATTGCGAGTTCAAGGAACGGAAGCAAAAAGACAATGTGGTTTTTACCCGAACGGGCCTGACCGGGAATTGAACCCGGGACCTCGTCGAAAAGCTTGAATAGCCCTAACAACGAATCATACTCCTAGACCATCAGGCCTTACTTTCGAACAATTCCATCAACACCATGTATCATCAATCATGAAAATCCAAACAAGCATATATATCCAAAAAAGTCATTCCAAAATCCCATCCCAATCCGTACAATCTCACACGCTCTTCCACGCTGTTCAACAGAACGCCCAGCTGACTCTGACTTACGGGCCAGTCCTATCGTACCCAGCGCTATCAGTAATAAAGTCGATCGAGCCGTCACTCTGAGTTTGTCCTCCAAAGTTATCAGCATCGGCGGCGGTGTGGAATTGCGAATACAAGGAACAGGTGAGCAGGGGGCTTCCGTCCTAGAAACAAACAGTTCATTTTCCATATCTAAACTTGCCAGTTCCGGCAGAGGAACCACGTACCTTTCCGTTAACATCGTGATAAGCTATGTAGAGTAGATAAAGCGGTTAATGACAATGTTCTAGTCCCAAAGCCCAGAAGAGAGTTCGAGATGACGTACGGTTAATAAAGTTACATCCAGTGACACTGTCACACATCGTCTCACAATCTACAAACACATCAGTCGCATTACCAGCACAGAGTCAAGGGCAAGAGTAGATTAGAGCGAGGAGTAGGAGAGTTCGGAATCATTACGTACCGGAGACAGTATCGACAAGTCCAAAGGTCATGTAGTCTGGAGCCTGAATGGACGCGTTCAGCCCGTAGAAAACTTCGTAGTACGTCCCCTGGGGAGGCGGTGGAGGCGGAGTTGATGTCCCAGATGGTTGGGGAGCAGTAGTAGTGGTCGCCGTTAGAACACGGAAGGCCGTTCCTGCTGGACAGTGGAGGGCTGTGGGGTCGGCCGCAAGGGATGCACAAAGGTCCTAAAAGAAACGAAAGATTACTCTCAGCCCCGCGCGGGGAATAATAAACCTACGGGGTCCTTCAACCACGGAAGTCCATCTGCAGAAGCGGGGTCGTCACCAAAGTACCACCCAGGGGTAGCACCAGCGACCTGGGGCGCATTGGGGGCGCCGAAATGGTTCGACGCAGTAAGCGACGCGACGATGGACTCGGTAGATTCATTATCGTCACGTATGTCATGAGGAGGGATGAACACGGCTGCAGCAGCCGAGACTAGAGCGACGAGCGCAAAAAATGACCGCATAATAAACAAGCTAACTGGGCTCTTTTTGGGGTCGTTGCTTCTTGCTGGGAGAAACGAACACGAAAGAGTCTCGGCCAGCTCGGATCTTTTTATACTTTTTTTCTCTTCGTTACTTGGCCCAGGGGTATCAAGGTACATTTGCCCATTCTGCACCCTTTGAACCTAGATTCCAGTTGACGGTTCATCGAAAGAACGAAATTGAGCTGTACAGTCCATTACATACACATAGCACATACCAATATAAACGTAGCTTCTACGTTGATCGCTCCGCACTGAATGCCTATTTCAAGAACGAATGAGGATTGGACAGTAGTAGACAGCGAACAGATACACGTTCTGAACGTTCGAACGTTGAACTATTTTCAAAGTTCATTCATCCTGCAGTCTGTCATAAATGAATGACAGCATCCCGGCCCCTCGATATAGTGATTCCGCTTGATTCAGGTCAGAAAGCAATGTATCAATTGAGGTGGATTTAGTTTGGAGATGTCGCGGATACAGTTCCTCCAGGGATGCAGTTCGAACCCGAACAAGTCCAGCCGAACAAGGACGACAGAGCGTATGTACCATCATCCACATCGTGCCCCAACAACGAGGTTTCCTGGCAAACCTTACTCAGTTGCTGTCGCTGGACTAGAATTGGGGGGTGATAGACAGATAGATAGATGATATAATCCCACCACAGCTTTTCTCGAAGACGTGACCGAGGTCGATATCAACGGTATCTTGTTAGTATCTTCCGTCGGAAATGAAACTTACAACAGTTCTCGTCAAAGGTACCACTTCCAACACGGCACGTCTCTCGGCGATATTCTAGATGGCGATATAGGAGAAAGAGAGAGGGATAGGAGGCGGAGAGAGTGAAGATAAGAGAGAAGATCCCCCCTTGCATGCAAACACTTATTGCAGCCGTCGTTCCTAGCTCGGAGGGCCTCGATAATCGGCATTGCGGATGTTAAGACCTTGATCTCATTCGGCCGTTCACACCTCGAGAAGCAATTCCACGGAGAAGCCTCATAGAACGAAACTCGGACTCGCTGAATAGAACTTCTGCCAAGTCGATAGTGAATCATGATGGTAGAGAGCCAAGTTGCGAGTTTCCCGCGCCTCATTTTCCGGGTCGCTATAAGGCCACTTGACATGCATCCATCCGAAGATCGACCCGCTGTGAAAGACATCAAGAATGATTCCCTCGTAGAGGTACGATGGGCATTACATGGTCATAGAGCCAATGAAGATAGGATATTCAGGAAATTCGATGGGAGGCATAAGTGAATTTCTCGCGCTCCTACGGCGGTAAAATAAAAAAAAAACAAGAAAAAAACGAAACTCCGAATCAGAGCTTCACCTGAACGCGCAGTTCCTTTGCAATGCTCTTCTTCTTGTAATGTCCAAAGGCCGTTATACGACCGCTGAGACCAGTTTCTAGGCCAGGGGTGTTAAGTTAGGTACTGTAAAATAGGCGCATGCACACCACTTACTTGAAATCTAGGTGTACATGAGACTTTCTGATTATCTTGACAGTAAATCCGATGTTCTTGATAGCAGAATCATTGACAGCATTATTAGAGGCGTGAGTCCTGACGACAATAGTCTCGGCATACTCGTTAATAGAAGGAGCTGGAAACAGATGAAGCCGGAAACGAGATATTATCGACCAACCTTCCGCGCTCTTTGGGTAGGGCCAGTACATTGAGGTCGTCGATCCAACGTCGGACTGATTATAATAGCATTTTGCCGTGTCAGCCACCCTGAAGCTTTGACAAGTATGTATTGGGTGAACTCTAGAGGCCACTCGCTCAGCCGCGCAAGGCACTCTTTTTTGATCTTTTTCCAGCCTACGACCGACTATTACAGCCGGGGGAGTTCCTTTGAGGTGCCCCTGAGGTAAGGTGAGTCTTTAACACCCGCTCATAGCACAATTAAAAGGAAATTTAGTAAATATTCGGTGGTGGGTAAAGTACAAGTATATCATGCTGCTACGATAATCCACTCTAAGTTCGTTCATTCACTGATAGACGTGAATGTAGTTGATTTGCCACTGTGCGTCTAAGTACATACAGGAACTTGATCAGAAATGACAGGATAGTCCGAAGAGATTCAAACTCACCTTTGAAGTTGGAAGGGTCAGCCACAGCAGACGCGCACGAGCCCGGGCATCCAGAGGAGGAATAGGTATTGCCCGCCCAGTCACCACATAGGGCCGTGTTCTGGAACGATAATGACACGAGTGAGCCAGGGATGCAAGAAGCTCAAAGGCACTTACGATGGTGATAACATGGTCCTTGAAGTGGCCGGCAGAGCAAGAGTTTCCAAACTTGAGGTAAGAGATCGGAGTTCCCCAACTGGCAGGAGTCGGTGATCCGCTTTGCACGTCGGCTGGTATTTTATTTCTGGGGAAGAACCAAACCCGAATACCATCGCTGGTATCCCATAGTTGGGCTGTAAGCAGCATGCCAATTAGCACTCTACCCAATCACCTACAAAGACGTGTCTGAGTATACATACCAACAACTCCTCCCCCATTCTCATTGAACCCATTCCCGAAGGTTTGAGGATCACTATCCATCGTCGCACATCCACTATTGTCGGCACCGCTGCTTTCGCAGGATGGATGATTGCTTAGTTTCCCGGTGATTTGAACGGAAGAGTCAATTGAGCAACCCGCACTGGTGTGCATAGTGATTTGGTTGCCGCCCTTGGCGTTTGGGCCTTGGTTTACACCTTCAATAAGGTCGATTTCACCTTGATTTGGCCATGAAGGTCCGCCTACAGTCCATAATGCAGGCCAACTTGGTATTTTTGTCAAATTCGGCTGCGGAAAGACCAGTCAGAGAAAACTTACGTTGAACATCCAACAGGCATTCTCTTGACATCGTACAAAAAGAGGCCACTGTTGTACGTTTTCTTACTGGAAACACGAGTTCTAGGTTTCCAGAAGAATGCTTAGAGATACTCGATGCTTCGTTTGAGGAGAAAGAGCACTTACGAGTCGCGGTTCTGCCCGGATGTCAATTTTGTCGTCGAATCGACTCCGAGAATGGCAACATTATTGTCGATCTTTGCGAGCCCCTTCGATTTAGCATCTGCCTCTTTGAGATAGTTCACCATCCCGTGTGTAGGGTCCGCATCAGAGAAAAAGTCGAAAGAACTGGATCATGATACGAAGTTCAAGCATTGAATATTTAGCTGGATCCAAGCGAACAGGCTTACTCAAAAAAACCAGAACCTTCGTACTTATCGGACACCGTCCATTTCTTAGCGGCTGCTCTGTCGCTAAGAGTGAAATTCATTGGTAGAGCAAGGGAAAGGAGTGGAAGGGCTGTTAGAAAGAGTGAAGTAGTTTGAGCCTTGGAAAACATGGTGAACGCAAGATATTGGATACTAAGGAGGTTAGGCTATAGAGGAGTTTACAAGACCAGCTTGTCGAGTGACCTGCACCGAGGGGGGAGCAATGAGTGGCGTTCATAGCTGTAGGAAGCATTTTATAGGACTACGCATATATCTGGCGGTGTAATCGAGCTATATGGGGCCATAGTGCTACCAATGAATGAAAATGTGAGACGTTCGCCGTGGCCTATGCAGAAGGATGTGTTGCAGAATCCCCCCTGATAATTGTAATTCAATATGGATTTACTATGTAGAGAGAGTTATGGCGATGTTGAGCAACTATGTAGCATAGTGCCTGGCAATGGGCGCATGTATAGACTTGATGGTACTAGTTTTGCATAGTTTTGCATAGACTTTCGGCGAATGCCATCTGACGAGCTCGATAGTATTTAGGAATCGTAATTCAGTCGATGGCCATTCTGAAACGTACCGGAGAGAGATTCTGTATAAACTAGAATATGTATCGAGGCTGTGAAAAGAACAAGTTATAGAGTTATCCG